CTTTTGTTTTGCTCCCGGTTCCCAGGCCGAGTGAAGTGGTTTGGGGCAGAGGAGAAGGAGACTTGGGAAGAGCACGGAGTCCAGCCCCATTGCTCTCGAGGTGCAAAGTTGGAATAGTCCATGCAGAATTGACCTGGATCCAATTCCTTGGCTTCCAGCAACACATTCGTTCTACACCGTGGAACGAATGCATTTTAATGCCCCTTTGAATGGCCATGGCTCAATGCAATGGGATCCCGGGAGGAGTTGTAGTTTTGCAAGGCCTTGAGTTCTGCAACTCTCCCCATTTGCACTCTTGAGTGCGTCTGCACTGTGGAGCGAATGCAGTTTGACACCCTTTTGAATGGCTATGTCTCCAGAGTATGGGTTGCTGGTGTTAGAGACCCTAAATTGGGTCTTCATAGGTCCAAATCACGGGAACACGTAAGGAAGGAGACAGTCCCAAAAAAGATTTTAAAAAACAAGGTTGATTTTAGTTTCTTCATGAAGAAAACGGTCAGCCTGGCAGCATACGCAGATGATACCCTTCAAGTGACTGCCGCACCCCCTTGGCAATATATAACCTCAAGTAAACAAGAACATTTTTTGTCATGGAAAGTACTTTCTTTCCAGCCCCCTCCCTTGACCTTTTGATGGAAAGTACCTTCTTCTACCTGCAGACTCTGCGCTTAACCACAACCTTTGAACTTAACCACAACACAACTTCCGACCTCTACATGTCACATCTTTTTTCTTAAAAACATTTTCTTCCGTGTTGCTCTTTTTCTACAGAGAAAGGATATATTTCTCTTTTTCTGTTAATTTCATTCAAAGCCCCTTGCTTAGCATTTGCAAATTTCACTCAAAGACCCTTTCACTGGGAGTTGTAGTTTTGCAAGGCCTCGAACTCTATGTCTCTCCCCCGTTTGCATTCTTGAGTGCATCTACATTGTGGAATGAATGCAGTTTGGTTTGACACCCTTTTGAATGGCTATGTCTCAAGAGTTTGGGATCCCGGGAGTTGCAGTTTTGCAAGGTCTCGAACTCTATGTCTCTCCCCTGTTTATATTCTTGAGTGCATCTGCATTGTGGAACGAATGCAATTTGATCTCCCCTTAAAGAGCAATGGCTAAATGCAATGGGATCCCGGGAGTTGTAGTTTTGCAAAGCCTTGAGCTCTACAGCTCTCCCCGTATGCACTCTTGAGTGTATCTGCACTGTGGAACAAATGCAGTTTGACACCTTTTGAACGGCTATGTCTTCAGAGTATGGGTTCCTGGGAGTTGTAGTTTTGCAAGGCTTCGAACTCTATGTCTCTCCCCGTTTGCATTCTTGAGTGCATCTACATTGTGGAACTAATGCAGTTTGACCTCCCCTTAAAGAGCCATGGCTAAATGCAATGGGATCCCAGGAGTTGTAGTTTTGCAAAGCCTTGAACTCTACATCTCTGCCCGTTTGCACTCTTGACTGCATCTGTACTGTAGAACGAATGCAGTTTGACACCCTTTTGAATGGCGATGTCTCGAGAGTTTGGGATCCCGGGAGTTGCAGTTTTGCAATGTCTCAAACTTTATGTCTCTCCCCATTTACATTCTAGAGTGCATCTACATTGTGGAACAAATGCAGTTTGTCCTCCCCTTAAAGAGCCATGGCTCAATGCAATGGAGTCCTGGGACTTGTAGTTTTGCAAGGCCTCAAGCTCTGCATCTCTCCCCATTTGCACTCTTAAGTGTGTCTGCACTGTGGAATGAATGCAGTTTGACACCCCTTTGAACGGTGATGTCTCCAGAGTATGGGGTTTCTGGGAGCTTTAGTTTTGCAAGGCCTCGACCCCTACGTGTATCCCCGTTGGGAGGGCTTTGACTGTGCCTTGCTGCCTGGAAGATGGGGGTTGGACTAGATGCCCTTTGGGGGTCCCTTCCAACTCCCTTCCACGTACAGGCTCCCTGCAAATCTTGCAAAAATCAGACCGGGAACCCTTTCTTTGCCTTTGGGAATCTATGCATTTCCAGGCCAAAGCAAACAGCGTGGTTTCTTGACGTTGCAGCAAAGAGATGCAGCGCAAACATTGCACAAGGCAAAGCCAGAAATAATATTTTTCTTATGGGAGAAGCATCGGATCCAGCCAAAACAGAGCATTGCTTCCAATAAATGGAGCTGGAATTGTCTGTATAATATAAATAGTGCATTGAAGGGTGAATCAAGTCAAAGGGTCAGTCTGGATCCTGTGTCCAACCACACAGGAAACTAGAAATCCCGCAAAAGAGGTCAGAAGCAGGCAAAAGGGCAAGTTGTTGTTTATTTGTTCAGTTGCTTCCAACTTTTTGTCACTGACAATATCATATCCAATAAGGGGCCCTACTACTGCATTACATCAACATATATACATATATATATACACACACACATACATATACATATATATGTATGTGCATGCATGTGTATATGTGTGCGTGCATGCATGTGTGTGTATATGTATGTGCATGTGTATATATGTATATACATATATGCAGACCCAACTTTAAATGATCATCATCATTATTTTGCATTGATTGGCAAGAATGTATATTCCACTGCAACAACATATTATTGTGTATGTATGTTTATACATGTGCATATATATGTGCATGTGTATATACATATATGTAAACCCAACTTGAAATTATCATCATTGCTTTGCATTGATTGGCAAGAATGGATATTCCACTGCAACAACATATTACTGTGTGTGTGTGCATGTGCATATATGTATATACATATATGTAAACCCAACGTGAAATTATCATCATTATTTTGCATTGTATATATATGTGTGTGTCTATATGTGTGTGTCTATATATGTGTGTGTGTGTGTATGTGCGCATACATACACACACACATACATATATGTAAACCCAACTTGAAATTATCATCATTACTTTGCATTGATTGGCAAGAATGGATATTCCACTGCAAGAACATATTATTGTGTGTGTGTGTTTATACATGTGCATATAAGTGCATGTGTGTGTGTATGTATATATATATATATAAATAAGGCTTGGGCAATCCATAGTTCTAAATGGTTCTAAAGTACTTACAGAACTAAAGTTCTGGTGGTGAAAATTTCAGAACTCTAACAAAACTTTCAATATTTAATTATTATTTCATTATTGGTGATTTTAATGACAGAACCAATTAGGAACGGCCATTTATTAAGAAATTTTGAGAGTTTTGTTAGAGTTCTGAAATTTTTACCACCAGAACTTTAGTTTTGTAAGTACTTTAGAACCATTTAGAACCATGGATTGCCCAAGCCTAATATATATATATATACACATACACACACACACACACACACACACACACACACATATACATATATGTAAACCCAACTTGAAATTATCATAATCATTGCTTTGCATTGATTGGCAAGAATGGATATTCCACTGTAACACCATATTATTGTGTGTGTGTGTGTCCGCGTGCATGTATATATATGTGTGTGTGTGTGCATGTGCATATATGTATATACATATATGTAAACCCAACTTGAAATTATCATTGTTTTGCATTGTTTATATATATGTGCGTGTGTCTATATGTGTGTATATATGTGTGTGTGTGTGTATGTGTACACGTGCATATATATATATATATATACACACACACATATATGTAAACCCAACTTGACATTATCATTATTTTGCATTGTATATATATATATGTGTGTGTCTATGTGTGTGTGTATGTGTACATGTGCATATATATATATATACACACATATATGTAAACCCAACTTGAAATTACCATTATTTTGCATTGTTTATATATATGTGTGTGTGTCTATGTGTGTGTATATATATATTTGAGTGTGTGTATATGTGTACATGTGCATATATATATATATATACACACACACATATATGTAAACCCAACTTGAAATTATCATTATTTTGCATTGTATATGTATATGTGTGTGTATATATATGTGTGTGTATGTGTATGCGTGTGTGTGTGTGTGCACATATATATACACACACACATACACATATATGTAAACCCAACTTGAAATTATCATTGTTTTGCATTGTATATATATATGTGCGTGTGTCTATATGTGTGTGTATATATGTGTGTGTGTGTGTATGTGTACATGTGCATATATATATATATATACACACACATATATGTAAACCCAACTTGAAATTACCATTATTTTGCATTGTATATATATATGTGTGTGTGTCTATGTGTGTGTATATATATATATATGAGTGTGTGTATATGTGTACATGTGCATATATATATATATATATATACACACACACACATATATGTAAACCCAACTTGAAATTATCATTATTTTGCATTGTATATATATATATGTGTGTGTGTGTATATATATGTGTGTGTATGTGTATGCGTGTGTGTATGTGTGCACATATATATACACACACACATACACATATATGTAAACCCAACTTGAAATTATCATCATCATTGCTTTGCATTGACTGGCAAAAATGGATATTCCACTGCAACAACATATTATTTTGCATTGCAATCAATCCTGTTGCAACAGTGGCCCCTAGTGGCCTTATGCAGAATTGCAAGCCTTTTCTGAATGCAAGTTTTGGCAAAATGTTTATATATGTGTGTACTGTATTTCCCAGAATTACCCAAGATCACCCTTTAGCAGAGAACGCTATGGACCTTGTCGAACTACAGCTCCCATGGTTCCATAACCTTAAGTAGTCAAACTGCAGGGAAGTGGCATCCTAAGCATTTCTCCCACAATTTCCTTCCTTTCCCCCCTAACTATTAAGAAAATAATAATAATATTGAGACCAGTTTTGAATGTAATTGAGAAGGAAAACAATGTATAGGCGGACAACATAAGAAAAGTTTGGGTGTGCTTCCCCTTTAAGAGCCGAGACTCTACCAACTCGGTACATGGGGGGAAAGGAATAGTTCAAGTCGACAGAGCGCATGCGCAGAAGACTTCTCCAGGAGGCTCCTCCCCTTTTCAAGAATGGAACCACCCAGTAGAACCCGGAAGTGGCTGCAGTTCATGGGCTCCACGTGGGTGAGAAGGCAGGATGGGGAGCCCGGAAGGTAAGCTTAAAGGGCAAGTACCACCAGTTTGGGGGATGATGGGACTTATAGTCCACAAAGTATTTTCTTAAGTCAGGAAAATTTAGAAGTGGCTTTTTCTCAGTTCCTTCCTCTGAAATAGAGCTTGGGATTATTATTATTATTATTATTATTATTATTATTATTATTGGTATTTATTGCAGTCTCCCATCCAAGGACTATCCAGGGCTGGCCCTGCTTAGCTTCCAGAATCAGATGAGATTTTATTCCTTTGGAGCTCTTGGTTTTGCCTTAGAATCCTAGAATCCCATCCAGTCCAACCCCATTCTGCCAAGAAGCAGGAAAATTGCATTCAAATCACCCCTGACAGATGTCCATCCAGCCTCTGTTTAAAAGCTTCCAAAGAAGGAGCCTCCACCACACTCCCGGGGCAGAGAGTTCCACTGCTGAACGGCTCTCACAGTCAGGAAGTTCTTCCTCATGTTCAGATGGAATCTCCTCTCTTGTAGTTTGAAGCCATTGTTCCATTGCGTCCTAGTCTCCAGGGAAGCAGAAACAAGCTTGCTCCCTCCTCCTCCCTGTGGCTTCCTCTCACATATTTATACACGGCTATCATGTCTCCTCTCAGCCTTCTCTTCTTCAGGCTAAACATGCCCAGCTCCTTAAGCCGCTCCTCATAGGGCTTGTTCTCCAGACCCTTGATCATTTTAGTCGCCCTCCTCTGGACACATTCAGCTTGTTCAATATCTCTCTTGAATTGTGATGCCCAGAATTGGACACAATATTCCAGGTGTGGTCTAAAAAAAGCAGAGCATGGGGAGCAGGACTTCCCTGGACCTAGATACTATGCTCCTCTTTTTTGCAGGCCAAAATCCCATTGGCTTTTTTTGCCGCCACATCACATTCCTGGCTCATGTTTAACTAGCTGTCCACGAGGACTCAAAGATCTTTTACACATGTACTGCTCTCAAGCCAGGCCTCATCATCCCCCATTCTGTATCTTTGCATTTCGTTTCAGTCTCCCATCCAAGGACTGTCCAGGGCTGGCGCTGCTTAGCTTCCAGTATCAGATGAGATTTCATTCCTCTGGAGCTCTTGGTTTCGCCTTAGAATAATAGAATCCTCGAGTTGGAAGGGACCTCATGGGCCATCCAGTCCAACCCCATTCTGCCAAAAAGCAGGAATATTGCATTCAAAGCTCTCAGCCTCCTTGGAGCAGTTAAGCCTCCCACCACGACAAGGTGGCACCCATTGGGGGGTAAACACCTGGGCCATACCTGTCATAAGATATACTGCTGGCATCATAAACTGGACACAGGCAGAACTGGACAATTTGGACAGAAAAACAAGAAAACTCATGACCATTCAGAATTCATTCCATCCTCGCAGTGATGTTGACCGGCTCTATCTGCCTAGAAAGTCTGGTGGAAGAGGACTCTTACAAGTCAAACAAGGAGTCGAAGAAGAAAAACACGAGGCCCTGGCAGAATATGTCAAGGAAAACGAAAAAAAACCTGGTTTACCGTAAAAATCGGCATACTAGACGACTTTCTAAGCCAAGAAAGTCATCTTAAAAGTGGGGGGGTCGTCTTGTGTGCCGGCTATAAGTTCCACCACTTGAGGATGCCGAGAGAGAGGGACGCGAGCAGCCATGAGAGGCCAAAGGGAGCCTGCTGGTCTCGCAGCTCAGCAATCCTCCTCCTCCTCCCCCCTCCTTGCACAAGCCCAGCTGGCCATCACCCCCGGCAGCACTGCCGCTCTCCCTCCTCCCCGTCCTCCTCCTGAAGGAAAAAGGGGCAGAAGAGGCTGCCCCCAAGCCTTCCATTCCCGGCCTCTTTCTCCCTCTCCTCTCCTTCCTCAAACAGTGCTACTCAAGGAGAGTCCAAACAAAGGCACCTCCGAGAAAGTCCTGCTGGAGAAACTTCTTCTTTCTCCCTCCCCTCTTTGGGGTTTCTTTCCTGTCTCTGTGCTCAGCTCCCTCTGAAAGAACAGCCGCTCTTCAGTTTTAAAAGTTTGAAATAGCCTGCAGAGGGAGGAAGAAAAAGGTCTCTTTCCCCCGTTTGGTTTTGTTTCTGCAGCCAAAAACGAGGCAGCCTTAAAGGGGAAGTCCCAGTGCAAGGGCCATCTATTCTTAAAGGGGAATCCCCCCCCCAAATAACTGCCACAGATTCAGTGCCATGGAATCACAGGAGTTGTAGTTTTACAAGGTCCTTAGCCTTCCCTGTTTAAGAGAGCCAGTACCATACCAAACTACAAGTCCCAGTTTTCTATCAGATTGTTTTGAATTTCAACTCTCACAATTCCTAACAGCTAGTGGCTGGGTTGCTGTGAGTTTTCCAGACTGTATAGCCATGTTCCAGAAGTGTTCTCCTGATGTTTTGCCCACATCTATGGCAGGCATCCTCAGAGGTTGTGAGGTCTGTTGGAAACTAGGCAAGTGGGGTTTATATATCTGTGGAAAGGTCCAGGGTGGGAGAAAGAACTCTTGTCTGCTTGAGGCAAGTGGGAATGTTGCCATTGGCTACCTTGATTAGCATTGAATGGCCTTGCAGCTTCAAAGCCTCGCTGCTTCCTGCCTGGCGGAATCCTTTGTTGGGAAGTGTTAGTTGGTCCTGATTTTTTATTGTCTGGATTTCCCCTGCTTTTGAGTGTTGTTTTTTTATTTACTGTCCTGATTTTAGAGGAGTTTTTTTAAATACTGGTAGCCAGATTTTGTTCATTTTCATGGTTTCCTCCTTTCTGTTGAAATTGTCCACATGCTTCTTGTGGATTGCAATGGCTTCTCTGTGTAGTCTGACATGGTGGTTGTGAGAGTGGTCCAGCATTTCTGTGTTCTCAAATACTGACTGTTAGGAATTGTGGGAGTTGAAGTCCAAAACACCTGGAGGGCTACAGTTTGCCCATGCCTGATTTAGATCTATCTCAAAAAGGGTATATTCATCAAACCCTTTGGGCATGACCTTGGAAATATCTGGCTGCAGTGCAAAATGTTCTCACGTGTTGGGTTTTGGAAGCTGCACAAGATGGCTTTATGACAACTTCTGTCCCCTCAGCTTACCACTAGCTGCTGCATTTCCCTCCCCTGGCTTATACTCGAGTCAATAAATTTTCCCAGTTTTTGGTCGTAAAATTAAGTGCCTCAGCTTATATTCGGGTCAGCTTATACTCGAGTATATATGGCAACTAGAACTGGATGGCCACCTGTTGGGGAGGCTTGCAGGAGTGAGTGGGTTGGAATGGATGGCCATTGGAGTCCCAACTCTAGCGTTCTGTTGTTGTTGTTATTGTTAAGCAGAGTTGTATGGCCACCTGTTAGGAAGGCTTGCATTGTGTCTTCCTGCCTGGCAGGAATGGGGTTGGACTGAATGGTCATTGAGGTCCCTTCTATTATTATTGTTGTTGTTATTGCTATTATTGTTGTTATTGCTATTATTAAGTAGAACAGGATGGCCATCTGTCGGGAGGGCTTGGACATGTGTTCCTGTCTGGCAGAATTAGGGTTAGACTGGATGGCCATTGGAGTCCCTTCCAATTCTAGATTTCCATTATTGTTGTTGTTGTTGGGGAAAGGACATTGGACCCGGCCCTGGTCTCACTCTAGGTAAGGTAAGGTAAAAAATTATAGAACTTTATTACGCTCCATGGACCCACAACTGTTAAATAAATAATAAACATACAGGAGTTTACAGGTGAGGTAAAGGTTTTCTCCTGACGTTAAGTCCAGTCGTGTCCGGCTCTGGGGGTTGGCGCTCATCTCCATTTCTAAGCCGAAGAGCTGGATACTGCTTTGATAGTCTTGGATTTGAAATCAAATCTGATGTTTTTATTTTTTGTTTTTATTTGGTGTGCGATGGAAGAGGGGTGGTCTTATACGGCGAGTATATATCAAACTCTATATTTTAACTGGAAAAGTTGGGGGTCGTCTTATACGCCCAGTCGTCTTATATGCCGGAATATACGGTAATTGAAGTCAATAATCGGAAACTCCTCAAAGCACAGCAGACAAAGAGTCAGTACAAGAAAACTGCACTACAAACCAGAACTGACAGCTGGCATAACAAAGCATGGCATGGGCAGTTCCTTGACAAAATTAAAGGAAAAGTGGATAAATCATAGAATCATAGAGTTGGAAGAGACCTCCTGGGCTATCATCCAGTCCAACCCCATTCTGCCAAGAAGCAGGAATTTTGCATTCAAATCACCCCTGACAGATGGCCATCCAGCCTCTGCTTAAAAGCTTCTAAAGAAGGAGCCTCCATCACACTCCGGGGCAGAGAGTTCCACTGCTGAATGGCTCTCACAGTCAGGAAGTTCTTAGGGTGGCCCTAAAGTTGGGAATGGCATATCAAGGCAGGCAGCACACAGCATCTCTTCATGGAAATGGGCCCCCCATTTATACTGCCAAATAAAATCCACATGATCGCTTTTGAACTGGATTATCTGAGTCTACACTGTCATATAATCCGGTATAATCCAAAGCGGGTAATGTGGATTTAATATGGCAGTGTAGAAGGGGCTGGGGGTGCAATCACTATTGTTCCTGGGTTATAAAGGTTATGACATTTGAAAAATCTACATATATAAATAAAAATGTAATGTTTGTTTGTGGGATTAACATAACTCAAAAAGCACTGGATGACTTGAAACCAAATTTGGATACAAATACACCTATCAGGCCAACGAGTGACCATCACTCAGAAACACATACACACCCAGCGGAACAGACTTAAAAAACCCTCAAATACACCATATATACATATACACATACATTCATATACATATACGCATGTACATATTCATATACACACTTGTATGTGTGTGTGTGTGTGTGTGTGTGTGTGTGTGTATATATATATATATATATGCACAAACACACACAAGTATACATATATATATACACACATTCATATACATATACATATGTACACATTCATGTACACTATATATGTACAAACACACACAAGTATACACATATATATACACATATACACATATATATACACATACACTCATATACATATAGACATGTACACATTCATGCACACGTATATATATGCACAAACACAAGTATACACACACACATATATATACATACACTTATATACATATAGACATGTACACATTCATGCACATGTATATATATGCACAAACACAAGTATACACACACATATATATACATACACTCATATACATATAGACATGTACACATTCATGCACACGTATATATATGCACAAACACAAGTATACACACACATATATATATACATACACTTATATACATATAGACATGTACACATTCATGCACACGTATATATATGCACAAACACAAGTATACACACACATATATATACATACACTCATATACATATAGACATGTACACATTCATGCACACGTATATATATGCACAAACACAAGTATACACATATATATACTCATATACATATACACATTCATATACACGTGCACACATTCATACACACACACATATATGCACAAACACACACAAATATACACATATATACGCAATACATATATACATATACACGTGCACACACATACAAATACATACACACAAACATGCATAAAGACAAGCACACACATATACACAATATGTACGTACGCATATAAATACACATATATATACACACACACACACATATATACACACACATATAATCACCCACATATAACACACATATATACGCAGATATATATACACACAAAACACATATACACAGACTGGTCCACAGCAACGCGTGGCAGGGGACGGCTAGTCCATCATAAAATCTAAAAACAAACAAAGATTGCTCCAGATATTTATCATTGAGTCTCCTCGGGAAGGCAGGTGGGGTTTGAAGCTGCAAGGCCATTCAATGCTAATCCAGGTGGCCAATGGCAACATTTCCACTTGCCTCCAGCAGACAAGAGTTCTTTCCCCCTCCCTGGACATTATTCCCTAGATATATTTATATTTATTTATTTACGATATTTATATGCTGCCCTTCTTACCCCAAAGATATATAAACCTCACTTGCCTAGTTTCCATCAGACCTCACAACTCAGGGGATGATTGACATTGATGTGGGTGGAATGTCAGGAGAGAATGCTTCTGGAACATGGCCAGACAGCCTGGAAAACTCACGGCAACCTAGTGATTCCGGCCACGAAAGCCTTTGACAACCTATCTCACCATTGATCCTCAACCCATACAACCTCGTTTGTGGCAGCCACAAAAGCAAAGTTTTTGGAGTAGAACAACAACTTCCAAAGTAATGTATTTCTCACTACCTTTGCCTTTTCGCTCCACAGCGCTTCCCCGCTTCAAGTGTCCGCCGGACTTTGTTGCCAGCTGCTTTGCCCCGGGACCCCCTTTCTCCCTTGAGGTACTCCAGGACCCTTCGAAGGAAGTCCTTCTGATCCGAGCCCCAGCCAACTTCAGCCCAGAAAGGTATGGGAAATAATGCGCACGAGTGCACAAAAGGGCACACGCTTGTGAGGCCGCCTTGTGTAAGAGACAAAGCCTGTGTCATCCTAGGCAGCCAAGCAAACACCACAAGGATGTTCACACTTCCCTATGCTACCAAACCATGTATGTGGCTAGAGCAGGCATGGGCAAACTTACACACATGTTTAACTTCAGAACAAACCTACAGAACTTCTCATCTATAACTTGGGAACTGCTTATGTATGTATGTGTGTGTGTGTATACACACATGCACACACTGTATATGTGTGTGCATGTTTGTACACACAAACACATACTAGCTGGACCCACCATGTGTTGCTGTGGCCAACTTTCCCTCCCTCTTTCTCTTCTTCCTTCGCTCCTTCCTTCCTCCCCTTTTCTACTTTCCTTCTTTCTTTCCTTCCTTCTCTACCTCTTTCCTTCCTTCCCCCCTTTATTTTTTCCTTCCTCTTTCTCTCCCTTCTTCCTTCTCTCTTTCCTTCCTTCCTTTGTTTTTTTGCTTCCATCTTTCCTTCTTTCCTTCCCACCCTCTTTCTCTCCTTCTTTTGCTCCCTCTTTCCTTCCTTCCTTTTTCTTTCCTTCTCTCGTTTCTTCCTTCTCTACCCCCTTCCTTCCTTCCTTCCTTCCTTCACTTTTTGCTTCCATCCTTCCTTCTCTTCCCTTCCCTTCCTCTTTCTCTCCTTCCTTCGCTCCCTCTTTCCTTCTTTTTTTCTTTCCTTCTCTCATTTCTTCCATCTCTACCTCTTCCCTCCTCCCCCCTTTTTCTTTTCCTGCTCTTTCTCTCCTTTCTTCCTTCTCTCTTTCCTTCCTTCCTTCCCTTTTTGCTTCCATCCTTCCTTCTCTCTTTCCTTCCTTCCCTTTCTCTCCTTCTTTCCCTCCTTCTTTCACTCCCTTCCTTCCTTTTTCTTTCCTTCTCTCCTTTCTTCCTTCTCTACCCCTTCTTTCCTTCTCTTTGCTTCCATCCATCCTTCTCTTTCCTTCCCTCCCTCTTTCTCTCCTTCTTTCCCTCCTTTTTTTGCTCCCTCTTACCTTCCCTTTTCTTTTCCTTCCTCTTTCTCTCCTTTCTTCCTTCTCTACCTCTTTCCTTCGCTTCTGCTTCCATCCATCCTTCTCTTTCCTTCCCTCCTTCTTTCGCTCCCTTTCCTTCCCTTTTCTTTTGCTTCCTCTTTCTCTCCTTTCTTCGTTCGCTACCTATTTCCTTCTTTCCTTTGCTTCTGCTCCATCCTTTCTTTTCTGTTTTCTTCTTTCCTTCACTCTCTTTCTTTCCTTCCTTTGCTCCCTTCCTTCCTTCTTCTTTTCTTCTCTCTTTCCTTCCTTCTCTACCTCTTCCCTCCTTCCCTTTTTCTTTTCCTTCTCTTTCTCTCCTTTCTTCCTTCTCTACCTCTTTCCTTCCTTCCTTCGCTCTTTGCTTCTTTCTTTCCCTCTTTCTTCCTTCCTTCCCTTCCCTCTTCCTTTCTTTCTGTATTGTCATTTAGCTTTTCATCATTTAGCATTTTGGGGTTTTTAAGTCCTTTCCACTGTTCTTTAGTGATAATGAGTGATGGTCACTCGTTGGTATGTTAGGGGTATAGCGTCCACATTTGATGTCAATTCGTCCAGTGGTTTTTGCGTTATGTTAATCCCACAAACAAACATTACACTTTTATCTATATAAAAATGCTCTGTGCATAATGAGTACCTTAAAAACAAAAGAACCAATAAATGAAATCACACCAAATTTGGCAACAAAACGTCTCATAACAAGGAGTGACCATCACTCCGCCAAACGTACTTTGTCATTTGGGAGTTGTAGTTGCTGGGATTTATAGTTCACCTACAATCAAAGAGCATTCTGAACTCCATCAATCATGGAATTGAACCAAACTTGGCACATAGAATTCCCGTGACCAACAAAATACTGGAAGGGTTTGGTGGGCATTGACCTTGAGTTTGGGAGTTGTAGTTCACCTACATCCAGAGACTACCATGGACTCAAACAATGATGGATCTGGACCAAACTTGGCACGAATATTCCATATGCCGAAATATGAACACAGATGGAGTTTGGGGAAATAAACCTTGACATTTGGGAGTTGTAGTTAATGGGATTTATAGTTCACCTACAATCAAAGAACGTTCTGAACCCCACCAATGACGGAATTGGGCCAAACTTCCCACACAGAACCCCCATGACCAACAGAAAATACTTAAGGCCATCCAGTCCAATGCCCTTTACCAAGGCAAGAAAACGTAATCAAAGCTTTCCTGTCAAAGAGCCATCCAACCATAGATATAGATAGATATGATTCACACACAGATAGATATACTATCATAGATTTAAAAGGGACCCCTGAAGAAGGAAAATGATATCTTGCATATTCCAGGGTGGGCAAACCAGACAATCTCCACATCAACACTGACAAAGACACAGCAAGAAATACTGTTTGCCCACAAGCAGAAAGAAATAACATATATTAGAAACCAACACTTTCTCATTCCTTTATTTTCCAGATCACCAGACTGGGCCACAGCAACGCCTGGCAGGGGACAGCTAGTTTATAGAGATATGTATATGCCTGGAGTTGCGCTTAAGAAATGTCCCTGTTGTGATTGACATACAAATTCAAATTATTATTATTATTCCTACTACTACTATTACGTAGTAGTAGTAGTGCACATTCAGCTTAAGAACAAACCTACAGAACCTCTCTTGTCTGTAACTTGGGGAGTGCCTACATAATACATATAGATATATCATGTTCTGTTGACACTGCTGCTTCTTCTTCCCCTTTCCCAGCTTCGAGGGGCAGGCGCTGCCTCTCTCGGGCTCCCACACCGTCAAGCTGCCCCAACCCAACGGGGCGCAGAAGGTCTTCGGCATCCAGGCCGCTCTGGGCCGGCCGCCCAGCTCTGCCCGCTTGCTGGTCCCCTCGAGCCACAGCCAGGACCGCCTCTCTTGCGCGCCACCCTTCGGAGGGTCCTTGACCATCGCGGAGCGGCATGGCGACCCCGGCGCTTATCCGGTGCTCTTCCTGGCGGCCAGGCAAGCGGCCCCGCAAATCCCGGAAGGCCTCAAGCAGCGCTTCGTGCCGTTCGGGGGGCAGAAGAAGAGACCCGCCTTGGGGGACGCCGCAGAGGGGGCCCCGCGGAAGAAGCAGAAGAAGAGCAAACGCCGGTTGTATACGCCCGAGTACATGGGGGAACCCCAGGAAGAGGTAAACAGACACCCTGAAACGCTTTTGGGGGAATATCGCAAGCATTATTATCGACCCTCTCTTAGGCAAGGAGAGGCAATTATTATTATTATTATTTATCCCCTTTTAGGCATGAAGAGGTGACTAATATTATTATTATCATGTAATATTATTATGTCATCATCGAGTAATATTATCATCATCATTGACCCTCTTAGGCAAGGAGCAGCGAGTAATAAAATTATTATTATTATTATTATTATTATTATTGTCATCATCAATCTTCTCTTAGGCAAGAAGAGGCTGTTGTTATTATTATTATTATTGATCCTCTCTTAGGCAAGAAGAGGTAATTATTGTTATTATTATTATGTAATATGTCATCGAGTAATATTATTATTATCATCATCATCGTTGACTCTCTTAGGCAAGGAGTAGTGAGTAATAAAATTATTATTATCATCATCATCCTCAATCCCCTCTTAGGCAAGAAGACGCTATTATTATTATTATTATTGTTGTTGTTGTTATTGATCCTCTCTTAGGCAAGAGTTTATATTATTATTGTTATTATTGTGTAATATTATGTCATCGAGTAATATTATCATTATCATTATTATTATTATTATCATCGTCATCAATCCTCTCCTAGGCAAGAAGAGGCTATTATTATTATTATTATTGATCTCCTCTTAGGCAAGGAGAGGTGAGCAGTACTATTATTATTATTATTATTATTATTATTATTATTATTGATCTTCTCTTAGGGAAGAAGAGGTTATATTATTATTGTTGTTATTATCGTGTAATGTTATTATGTCATTGAATATTATTATCGTCATCATTGACTCTCTTAGGCAAGGAGTGGTGAGTAATAAAATTATTATTATTATTATTATTGTCATCATCAATCCTCTCTTAGGCAAGAAGACGCTATTATTATTATTATTATTGTTGTTATTGATCCTCTCTTAGGCAAGAGTTTATATTATTATTGTTATTATTGTGTAATATTATGTCATCGAGTAATATTATTATTATCATTATCATTATTATTATTATTATCATCGTCATCAATCCTCTCCTAGGCAAGAAGAGGCTATTATTATTATTATTATTGATCTCCTCTTAGGCAAGGAGAGGTGAGCAGTACTATTATTATTATTATTATTATTGATCCTCTCTTAGGGAAGAAGAGGTTATATTATTATTGTTGTTATTATCGTGTAATGTTATTATGTCATTGAATATTATTATCGTCATCATTCACTCTCTTAGGCAAGGAGTGGTGAGTAATACAATTATTATTATTATTATTATTATTATTATTATTATTATCATCATCAATCCCCTTAGGCAAGAAGACGCTATTATTATTATTGTTGTTGTTGTTGTTGTTGTTATTGATCCTCTCTTAGGCAAGAGTTTATATTATTATTGTTATTATTGTGTAATATTATGTCATCGAGTAATATTATTATTATCATTATTATTATTATTATCATCGTCATCAATCCTCTCCTAGGCAAGAAGAGGCTATTATTATTATTATTATTATTGATCTCCTCTTAGGCAAGGAGAGGTGAGCAGTACTATTATTATTATTATTATTGATCCTCTCTTAGGGAAGAAGAGGTTATATTATTATTGTTGTTATTATCGTGTAATGTTATTATGTCATTGAATATTATTATCGTCATCATTCACTCTCTTAGGCAAGGAGTGGTGAGTAATACAATTATTATTATTATTATTATTATTATTATTATTATTATCATCATCAATCCCCTTAGGCAAGAAGAAGCTATTATTATTGTTGTTGTTGTTGTTGTTGTTATTGATCCTCTCTTAGGCAAGAGTTTATATTATTATTATTGTTATTATTGTGTAATATTATGTCATCGAGTAATATTATTATCATTATCATTATTATTATTATCATCGTCATCAATCCTCTCCTAGGCAAGAAGAGGCTATTATTATTATTATTATTATTGATCTCCTCTTAGGCAAGGAGTGGAGTAATAAAATTATTATTATTATCATCATCATCAATTCCGTCTTAGGCAAGAAGAGGCTATTATTGTTGTTGTTGTTACTTGATCCTCTCTTAGGCAAGAACAGTTTATATTATTATTGTTATTATTGTGTAATATTATGTCATCGAGTAATATTATTGTTATCATCATCATTGACCCTCTTAGGCAAGGAGTTGTGAGAAAAATATTATTATTATTATTATTATTATTATTATTATTATTATTATTGCCATCAGTCCTCTCCTAGGCAAGAAGAGGCTATTATTATTATTATTGATCTCCTCTTAGGCAAGAAGAGTTTATATTATTATTGGTATTATTGTGTAATATTATGTCATCGAGTAATATTATTATTATCATCATCATTGACCCTCTTAGGCAAGGAGTTGTGAGTAATAAAATGATCGTTATCATCATCATTATTATTATCATTGTCATCAATCCTCTCCTAGGCAAGAAGAGGCTATTATTATTATTATTATTGATCTCCTCTTAGGCAAGGAGAG